CTTATCTGTAAATTATTTCTCATGCCTCCTTGTTAAACTTCTCCTTGTTCTTAGGATCTTTTACTAATAAGGAATAGTCTGTTATGCTTCCAAACATGACATCAGATTAAGTGACCCTGCAATGGCTTACTAAACGGAGAAAAAAGTCCCCTGTCATTACTAATGAAGAAAACTGTAATCTCTACTCATCAGTCTTATATAAGATAATAAATGTTTTCCCATTAATATCTACTTATGTACTTGTAAAAGACTTTTATTGATAAATAATGCACAATACATTTTCCTGGACAGAGATAATTCCTAATGGGCCAGTTATAGCAAAATCAATTTATATGACATATTTTAGGACACCCAATTCAGTCTAATGTCATTGAGGGTATATGTGCCCAGGGTAGCACAAGATAAGGATTTGTGAATAAGGGAAAAACAAACATGAGAATAAGTTTACTGAGGTTTTTAGAAAAATGAATTTTAATATTTTGATCTTTAGTAATAAGAAGAAATTTGACATATTTTTTTAAAAACCTAACGATACTTACAAAAACGTGCTCCACTCCCTTCTGCTCCTGTTCTGGCCAAGGTCCTGACCACTCCTCTGACCACTCCTTCCTTTAGTATTAGGGTAGAAAAAGGAGAGGCTCCCCTTGATATCAGTCTCTTCTTTACAGAAGAGTCTACATGCTATGTGTTGTTGGGCAGAATTATCTTTAAAAAAAGCAAAGCTCTGATCATTTTGCTCCTGTGCTCAAAAAGCTTTGATGAATCTCTACAGCCTACAGTATATATAAAAAAGTTATTTCAAAAGGTCTTAGCAAGGCATTTAAGGCCTTATATTATCTGATATCACTATGCCTTTCCAGCTTCTCTCTATGATCATAAAGGGCCTGCTGAAGAATTTGGAATTTGGGGGAACCAGTGCACACTGATGTGACAATGTGTAGGATGGACCTGAGAAGGAAGAAAGTTGACAAGTTTAATAAGGGGCTATGAAATAGTTTGAATGTCACAAAAGTGAAAGTGAACCAAGTTTGTAGCTATTTCAGTAGAGAAAGAGGGCTGGATTCAAGAGATGCTTCTAAGGCAGATGGAATAGACAGGATATGAGCAGTGAGGAAGAAAGAATAATTAAGGGTAACACCCTAGCCAGGTGTGGTGGCTCACGCTTGTAATCCCAGCTACTCAGGAGGCTGCTGAGGAGGGATGATCGCTTGAGCTCAGGAGTTCCAGCCTGGGCAACAGAGGGAGGCCCTGTCTCTATTTAAGAAAAAAACAAAAAGAAAAAAAAAAGGATAACATCCAGATTTTTATCTGCGGAAACTGTTGAACCTTTAACCTTACAGAAGGCAGAATATGCTTCAAAGTGGAGAAGGGTGTGTACTGTGTGATCAATTTAACATTAGATGTGCTTCATGTAAGATGCCTATACGGTAGCAATGCACCTCAGGCAGTCAGAGGTAAGGATTTGGTAATCATTGACACAGGGTTGAGTTAACAGTAGTTAAAGCCAAAGCTGTGAAGAACCTCACCATAAAAGATCAGAGAGCAAACAGGACCAAGGTTTAGATAATCTTCAGGCATTCCTCAATTATCCTCTATATTTTAAAAAGATCTACATTTTGCCTGAAGCTAACCGTTACCTCTCAATCCCCAGACTCTAAGCTTTGTGAAACCAAGAACCCTGGGTGTTTTAAAGAGAGAAAATACCACTGCATTAGTTCAGGGATGAGGTGGTCAGAACCAGGAGCTAGAGCTCAGATCATTTAATTTTTATGTTTTTAATCTCCTTTAAAAGTAACTCATAAGGAGAATCAAGGGTCTTGGGTGAACTGAAGCATTTCCAGTACGTTTAAAGAAAGGTACAGGTCGGGCGCAGTGGCTCACGCCTGTAATCCTAGCACTCTGTGGGAGGCTGAGGCAGGAGGATGGCTCGAGGTCAGGAGTTCGAGACTAGCCTGAGCAAGAGCAAGACACCGTTACCCCCCCTCCAACTAAAAAATAGAAAGAAATTAGCTGGACAACTAAAAATATATAGAAAAATTAGCCGGGCATGGTGGCGCATGCCTGTAGTCCCAGGTACTTGCGAGGCTGAGGCAGAAGGACTACTTGAGCCCAGGAGTTTGAGGTTGCTGTGAGCTAGGCTGACGCCATGGCACTCTAGCCCGGGCAACAGAGCGAGGCTCTGTCTCAAAAAAAAAAAAAAAAGAAAAGAAAAGAAAAAGAAAGGTACGTCCTTGTTTTCCAAGTTGTGTTAATAATTTCGAGTTCTTTACACTTATTTGGGGGAAAAATCACATACAAGAAAGGTAAAAAATTAAAAAGAGAAATTCACAAAAAATCATTCATCCAAGGAAAATTATGACTACCTCCCTCTAGACTCTTTGCTATGCATAGTTTGGGTTCAAATTTGTGTCATATCAGCCTTTTCCCATACTACTTAAAAGTTTTATAAACTAACTTCAGAAGCTACTTCATATACACTCAGAGAAGTCACATAATTTACTGAACTACTTACTCCTGGCTGTTGAGACACCTGGTAGTAGTCAACTTTATCCTGCTATAGATAACGCTGTGATAAAAGTCTTTGTACTTAAAGCATGTTCTTTATTTCGGACGATTTCCTGAGGATATACTCCCGTAAGTGTCATCCATAAGTCACACGGAACATATTCACTCCTTTAAATCCACACTGGCTCGGTCCTCATCCTCCAGCCCCTCATAACGCGGCCCGCCCCATTCTCGCAATCCTCTCGGTTCGTCTGTATCTCCTCCCCGCCCCACAACTGCCCTCCCGGCCCCCAAGTGCTGGTCCACCTCCCTCCCCGCCCACCTCCAGACTCCCCACACCCGCTACGCCTGCCAGCAGTGGAGACAAAATACCTTGGGTCTCACTGCCCAGTACTGGACCGCAGGGCAGAAACGGAGAGCAGCTACCGGAAGCATCGGCCCTCAGTCCTCTGATAGGTGAGCGGTGGCCGGGCAAGCTCGAAAATGACCTCTGCCTATTGGCTTTTGATTCTGTCACGTTAGGAGGGTCTTTCCCACCGACCAATAAGTTCGGGCTTTGCCGCAGGGATTGCTGGGAGGTGTAGTCCCGGTGAAACTCCACGGACTGACCTGACTGGTAAGTAACTGTTGCTCCCTCCCTTAAGCGCTTTAGTTCTTCCCCCAGTTCTCGTTGGTTCTCTTGTCTAAGAAGGAGTTCAGGAGCCCCAGGGTCAAAAAAGTTTTTTTTTTTTGAGACAGTCTCACTCTGTTGCCTGGACTAGAGTGCCATAGTGTCAGCCTAGGTCACTGCAACCTCAAACTCCAGGGCTCAAACCATCCTCCTGCCTCAGCCTCCCGAGTAGCTGGGACTACAGGCGCACGCCACCCCGCCCGGCTAATTTTTCTATTTTAGTAGAGACTCGGTCTAATTTTTTCTACTTTTAATTTTTTCAATTTTAAGTAGAGACGGGGGTGGGGAGGGTCTTACTGTTGCTCAGGCCGGTCTTGAACTCCTGACCTCAAGCAATCCTCCCGCCTCGGCCTCCTAGAGTGCTAGGATTACAGGTGTGAGCCATGGCAACTGGCCAACAAGGTTTCTTAACCTTCTTTTTTTTTTTTTTTTCCGCGGGGACCGGGGAGGAAGAAGTCGGGGACCCCTTTAAATGATAAAATTTCCCCTGAATAATGTTCTCATCCGTACACAAAATATTGTGTGTTTAACTGAAGCCACTTTATCGACCTGTCCCAGTTACAAATCCCTGTTCTACACCTACCTCAAATGTGCCTACCCATAGCCATAGCCCATGGAGCTAGTGCATCTCTAGACTTCTTTAGACTAGCTACACTCTTGGAAGTCTCTGGGCCACCCTAGAAGCGGCCCATGGGATTTCAGATCGTGACCCTCCTGAACAACACAGCCAGTCCTTCTTCAGGGATGCTGGTCTCTGACCACTTGGGAGAGGGGGGTGCCTGGAGAGATGGAGGAAGAACACCCCTAGGGCCCATTCTGAGCACCTTTTTCTCCCTCTGCCCATCTTCCAGCACCACTTTTCAGAATCATACCTTCACGTCAATGTTTGGAACAATTCAGGTAAGAATGAGTGGAAAAAAGAAAGTTTTTTCACTTTTTTAAAAGTCCCTTTCATCCTTCAAGCAAATGTTACCTCTTCCCAAAATTCCTTTCTAGATTCCTGGATCTGTTTTGGGTAGAGGTGAAGGGTCTGGCGTGGAGGAAGAGCTCAAGGGAGAATTTACTTATTCATTGATTCGTTCCACAGCACTAATCACTCCACGGGGTAACCGAGCCCCCACCCATCCCAGACTTAGTTCCTGGAGGACAGCGATTCTGTCTTAATTCATTTGGTATATGGGAATCCAATAACTGTGTGTGGAGCAGAACTACCCAGGATGGCGAATAGGGGTTGAGGGTGGGTGGGGGGGAGTCTGCAATGACTAGTGTCCTCCCTCCTCCCGCCCCTCTCCCACAAATCCGGGAAGCCTGGCGAGGGAAGGTACCTCTCTGGTGATTCTATAACGCTCTGAACTCCACGGCACTGAGCATCGAATTAGTCATGGTTTAATTGCCAGCCCTCTCTCCCTAGTCTGTAGGACCACGTTGACTTCCCGGAGCTGAGCACAGAGCAGGTGCTAGATAAGTATGTATTGAGCGGATGAACGAATGAACCGATGGATGGATGGATGAGTGGCTCGCTCACCACGCTCCCCAGTCAGTGGGATAATGATCTCTACTCCAGCCAGGCTCGCGAGCAGCCACGGCAGGGTCCCTTCCCCCGGGCCCCGCCCGGGCCGACCCCACCTTTGCGCGCGGCTCCGCCCCGCCGCCCCTTCCCGGTGGCCCCTCCCCGCGCAGGTCCCGACTCCAGCCGCACCTCCTCCGGCTCTGCAGTGGCGGCGGGGAGGCGGCCGGAGCGCCTGCGGGGCCGGGGCCGGGGCCGAGCGGAGCCGGGGTCGGGGCAGCGGCGGGGACCCCCGGAGGCGGCGCCTGCGGGACCGCGATGGGCGTGGAGATCGAGACCATCTCTCCGGGCGACGGTACCGGGCTGCCTCCGGAGCGGGGGGAGGAGGGGGTCCCGGGGCGGAGCCCGGCGGGCGGGGGTCAGATGGCGAGCGGGCGCCCAGGGTGCCGAGGCGGGGAGGGGCTAGGACGGGGGCGGCGGGGGGGAGACCCGGCACCGGACTCTGGGGGGCGGAGGAGACGACCCTCGCCATCCCCTTCCGCTCCCACTCACCTCGGGGAATGAGGGCGGTGGTCGGGAGGCGGGGGTCTGCGCCTCGCTACCGCCCGGGGGGCCGCGGCTGCCGCTGCTGCGGCCGGAACCGCTGGGTTATCCGCTGCGGCTGATTTCCGAGGGCCGGGGTTCAGCTCTGCTTTCCCGGCTTGCTGGGTGAGCTCTGGAAACCGGGGAAAGGACCTGCTTTGGGGTCTGCTGCTCGGGGAACCTCCTGCTAACGCGTGCCCCGCGGGCGGGCAGTGAGAGGCTGTGGGGACAGAGCCGGTCTGGGAAGGGGACGCGCTCCTTCCGCCGCCTCCGCATCTCACTGTATCCTCCCCGCCCCGCTCAGCCTCCCTGGCCATCCTGCCCGTTCCCATGGCCTCCACATCTAAGCCCCTAAGCCCAGACTGCCAACCTGCTGCTCGACCTCTACCTGGATGTCCCAGGATACCTCAAAGTCAGCAAGTCCGAAACAGAACTCACTCGTGTTGCCCGCCTTCCCCGCCCCAGGTGCTCCTCTGGATTCCCCGTCCCCTGTGTCCGTCCCCTGTGTCCGGGACGGGAACCACTCACTTGTATTATTAGGTCTGAGTGTGCAAGGAGTTGCTGTGCCTTTTTTTCTTAAAATCTAATTCAGACCGAAGCCTGCATGTCTGCAGGGTTTGATGGGCAAACTTCATAAAAGACATTATTGATAACATCCCTTCCCAGGAAATTGGAGGGCTTCTTGGTTCCAGGCCATCCTCCACTACCCGGGATCACCCCTGGGGTACAGGCTTCTTGGCCCATGCAGGGAACCTTGGCGCTGGGTCCCAGGAAGCATCTCCCTGAGGCCTTGTCACCTCCACAGACCCTGAACTGACCTCCCCCTCTTCAGACTCACCTCTCTGCCTTCAGTCTGGCTCCTGCCTCACTCCCACTCATTTTCTACACCACAACCTGAGGACTCTTTTTAAAATGTGTATTTGACCATGTCCTTGCCTCAGGCAGAAAAATCTCTTAATGTCTCATCCCTCTCCTCCAAGCCAAACGCCCCTTGGTTATATGGTCTATTCTAACCTTCCACACTATAACTTCATTTCTCAATACCTGTCCTTCCACCCACCACCAACTTTTTCTCCAGCTTTACCAAGCTGCCTGCAAGTTGTTAAACACACTCATTCAGCAAATATTTATTGAACATATACTCTGTGCTAGGCCCTAGGGTTACAGCAGTGAAATAAACAAGGCTTCTGCTATTGCTGGGCTCTAGGCCTTTGAACATATCCTGATGTGTAGTTCCCTCTTCCCAGATTATGTCTGGTGTCTTCCTCTGGCAAACTTACTCATCTTTTTTTTTTTTTTTTTTTGAGACAGAGTCTCACTCTTTTGCCCAGGCTAGAGTGAGTGACGTGACGTCTGCCTACCTCACAGCAACCTCAAACTCCTGGGCTCATGCGATCCTACTGCCTCAGCCTCCCGAGTAGCTGGGACTACAGGCATGCGCCACCATGCCCGGCTAATTTTTTCTATGTATTTTTAGTTGTCCAATTAATTTCTTTCTAATTTTAGTAGAGACGGGGTCTCACTCTTGCTCAGGCTGGTCTCGAACTCCTGAGCTCAAATAATCCGCCCTCCTTGGCCTCCCAGAGAGCTAGGATTACAGGCGTGAGCCACCTCGCCCGGCCCCTTACTCATCTTTTAAGACCCGGTTTAACCATTATCTCCTCTATGTTGATTTCCCCACCTTCTCCAGTTGGTTGCTCCCTCCTCCAGGAGAGTCCTCTAAATCTGCGGTCCGGGGGCCACAGGCTGCCCATCACCGCCCAAGCTCCACACCACCCTCCCCCGACACATGACACCTCACCCCACTCCACCCTGGTCCGTGGAAAAATTGTCTTCCATGAAACCGGTTTCTGATGCCAAAAAGGTTGGGGACCGCTGCTTAAATGTTGGCTCTGCAGTTAGCCTTTCCTAGGATTTGTTAGCCAGCCCCATAGCTTCAAATTCCACCCAAATTTATACCTCCAGTGTAGACTGTCCATCTGCCTACTTGCCAAATAAACTCAGATGTCTGATGGGCATCTCAGGATTGCCACCCACACAAATCTATCCTCATCTCAGGAAATGGCTCCACTATCCATCCAGTTGCCCAAACCTCAAAAAACCAAGCATCATTCTTGTTTTCTGCTTTTCCCACGTGTTGGACCCCATCTCCAGTTCGTTTGCATGCCCTGTCAGCTCAGCTTCCAAAATATGTCTCCAATCTATTTTGCTTTCTCCTCTGCTGCCGCCACCTTAAATCAAGCCATCATTGATTTCTTGTCTGGATTATTGGAACAGACGCCTAACCATCCATCCTACACACAGCAGCCAGAGTGATCTTATAAAATCTTAATTCAGATTATGTCATTCTCTTACTTAAAACCCTCCAGTGGTTTCCTATTGCACTTAGTGTTAAATCCGGCTCTGCAAGCCCTGCATGATCAGTCTCTTTCCCACTTCTCTCCTCCCTCCCTTCTTTCCAGCACTTAGCCGCCTTTCTGTTCTGCAAATATGCTGATTCTGTGCACTTGCTACTCCTTCCTGGAGTGCTCTTTCCCAGCGTTTTGCAGATCCTTCAAGTTCCAGGTCAAACGTCACCTTCTCTGAGAGGCCATCCTGGACCACTCTTTTCTAAAATGGCCTGTCCCACTGTATCTCTCTTTAATTATTCTTTGAGTTTATTTTCTTTAGGGGGTTTATCACAATCCATAATTATCTTGTTTGAATATTAATTGTCTCCCTTCGTTAGAATGTAAATTCTAAAAGAGCAGGGTCTCTCTCATTGGTAGTGTTCACTGCTGTATCCCCAGGAACAGGCACAGGCCTGCCCCATAATAGGTGCTCTAAATATTTGTGAATCAGTATGTTTATCTATTCTCGGTAGCAGCCATCAGTCTGCATTATAATCTAGTATTTATATGTCTATTTCCGTAACTTCCTCATGAGTTCATACATTGCTCTGTGTTTCTGGAATCTAGTCCAGACCTGGCACATAGTAGGCTTCTGGAAATGTCTGTGGAACGGATAAAGTAAAAAGAGTTATCAAAGAAAGGGGAAAAAAGAAAAAACCTAGGAGAGAGCGGAGTTGAGGAAACCAAGGAAATAAAGTTCAATTCCAGGCCAGAGAGGTGACGTGACTAGTCCTGGCTCCTATGAGGCACACACAGAGCCAGAACGGGGCCACGGGCATCTCCATAGTATGGAGGGGAACGTGGGCCTGAGCGTTTGGTCAGGATCACACCTGAATGTCCCAGGTGAATTTTTCCATTACTCTGCTCCTTCATCTGCCCTTGTGTCTCCTTGCAGGAAGGACATTCCCCAAGAAGGGCCAGACGTGTGTGGTACACTACACAGGTAGGCCTCTCTCCCGCGTCCTCACCCAGGCCTGCCCCTCCCAAGGCAGGGCTCTCCTCTGAGCTCCCCTTGGGGTGTCTGCCCCCTGGATCAGCCCCAGAGCCCAAGGCAGCCAGCTCTCCCTGTGACCAGCTACCCCCTGCTTCTTCCAGCCAGTCTTAAGGGGATGAGAAAGGGGGCTTGCAAGGTCAACTCCTCCCCTTTTATACCAGCGAGGGCCATCCATAGTGCCAGCCTCTGGGTGAGTCAAGCACCTCCAGTCCCCTTCCCTCCAGGGCAGTGTGGAGCCCTGGCCCTTCTGGTTCTGTCTGATATTTGGAAATCCCTCTTAAAGCTCTGAGAGCCCTGAAACTCCCAGCAGACTCCCTCTTTGTCCTACAGTATCATTAGAGAAGAGGAGGTTGGCTTCCTTAGAATTTCCTTTCTCTCTTCAGAAATAGACTATTCAATTCAGCCTGCTGATACTGAGCATCTACTGGGCTGGATGCCATGTTGGGCACTGGAGCACAAAGACGAGCAGGGAGGATCCCCGCCTTCACTGGCTGTGGTGGGGAGAGGACAAACACGTCACCTGGAGGCTCCGATGCAGTGTGAGGGGTGAGGTGATGCAGTGTTTGTCTCTGGGTGCTGGCGGAGCCCAGAGGAGGGCCCCACCTCTGTGCAGACCCCTCATAGATGCCCTGTAGCTGGAGGCTAGGTGGGCTGAGGGACATTCTAGATGAGCTCTGCAGGACTGCTGGCGGCAAGATCATGAGCAGGTGTTTGTTCAAGGGGGGTGAGCACCTCGCCTTGTGACCTGCTTCCCAATGTGACAAGCTTGGTGACAACCACTTAGCATACAGCAAGGCCAGTTTAATTCCTAGGACACATTCAGATGGGGCCATTTTTAGTAGTTCTGTGGGCCAGTGTGAAGAACAAGGTTAATTCTAGGCAGGCAGTGTGGATGTTTCTTGACAGTTGTGTTGCTGATCGCTGACGTCAGTGGGCTGGAGCTGTGTTTTATCTCCTGGTGATGTGGCCTAATTACCATGGGTCCTCTGGGGCCTCTGACCCGTGTAATTGATTTATCTGTTCTACACGTTGTAGACAGACCGGTATTTATCAAGTTACTGAAACCACAACATCCTTTTGCAAAGTCTTTTCACAACACATGCATAGAGCAGGTGATGTGCATTAAACATTAATATCAGCTGTGAGCAGCTCTGGTTTGGGGAGAAACTGTCCTATCAAACACAACAGAAGACTGTATGGGACTTGTGGTAACCTTTTTTATTAAATATAAATATGGTAGAGACCATGGTCTCTACTCAATGA